AGCCTCTCTCTTCTTTCTCCCTCCCAGACCTTTTTCTCTGGTATATTTTTATGATTTCTGCTTTTAAACCAAGCTCCTATTCTCAGCTCCACTTGAATACTACAGATAGGTAAGGTAAGGTAAAAGGATCGTATTAATTCCTGGGTGTGCTCTTCTATCGAACACTGTCAGGGAACTGTGGAAACTGTATTGCCTTGACGTATCCTTTAAATTCTCAACTCTGCCAGAGCTGTGCTTACATCGTGCACAGTGCGTGGTGAACCACAGGAAGGTTTTCTGTGTCTGAAGTTTCTGTTTTACAGCTAGAACTTCTGCCTGGGAATATCACTTCTTTGTTTGAATAAAGAACTGGAAACCTTAAAAGGAACTAAAAATCCACCATTGCACAACTCCTCCCTCTTTGTCTCATGATGTTTTCCAAGGGGAGAGATTCTTAAAACAATGATCTTAGACTAACCAGAGCAAAGCTCTAATCTTGCCACATCAAACACGTCATTGCCCCTGCCTCCAGCCAACAGAAATACATTGGATATGGGACCGTGCTTGTGAACAAATGCAGTGCATTGCACAAAGTAGACCACCTGACTAGCGACACAGGAAATTTCTTCCCTTCCTAACAGGAACTTACCATGATGGCTGGAAAATTCGAGTTGTTGCTGAAGTTTAACAAAGCTGGCTATGCAGTTGCTTACCACTAAGAAAATCCGTGGTCCCAGGTTCTGACTCAGTGCTGTGGTTGATGGGACAGAAGCAGAAGCACCTGGAGTTGCTTTTTCTCCTGGAAAGCATGACGGAAGTGTTTCTAAAGAGGAATGGAGACAATACTTGGTTTTATAGTAGGGAATTGCTGGATAGGTGCACAAATATAGTGAGGAAAGCAAACCTTCCTCAGAAGACAAAGCTATTGGGCCCATTATGCTTTCTCTTGAAAAGAAGCTGGTGGTTTCATTTTCATTTTTCTGTGTCTAGAGCAGAAACTAATGCTTTAAGAAGCAGGTAAAGGAGTTGGCTTCCTTAGACACAACAGGAGCAACTCATCATCATCTAGTGCTGCTTGAGATGCTGTAGTTATTCTGACTGACCCCCATCTGCCACTCTAGAAGGTCATGGGTCTGCCCACGCCAGCCCAGTGTCACACCTGCCAGCCCTGTGTGGCTATCTCAGATGTCCTAGGATGTCTACTACAAGCAGTAGGCACTCTTTTAGGCACCCAAAACCACACTCAGAGAACTTTAGAGATGATTCAGTTTGGTGGTATTCAGGCTTAGAAAATAAGAAGATTGAGCAGAATATCATCAATAGTAGTATCCAGAGTTGAGTACCAAGCTCAAAATTTGTCATTTTCACCAGTGTAAGCACCATTGCTCTGATACTATGTGAGCTCATTAACTGGCCAAACGAAATAAGGAATATTACATGTATTAGTGATCACAGCTGATAGTTAGTATCTTTCACTACATTCAGTTATTTATTACCAAATCTACTAATCTTTGGTGTCTATTCCAGCCCCTTTCACTTATGCTAAGGTCTTCTCTCAATTCTAACCCTTTTGCTGTCCTTGTTTCATTTTCTTTAAAAGCTTTTTCTGTTTGGAGTACTGAATTATTTTATCACAGGCTAACTCCTTTCTCCCTTTAACCTGAGTTTTTCCTTCTCAAATCTTCTTTCTCAGTATTCCCAAGATCCTGTCCACTTGTCCTCTTCTTTTTTTTAGACCTACAAATATTACACAAATGAGTATTTTTTTCATTAATTTTCTGATAATCCTTAGCTATTACACCACTACAATATTAGCCCTTCCCTCAACTGTAGCTCCTGATTGCTAGTCCAAAATTTCTCATCCCATTGAGCCTCTTGAAATTGTTGCGAGGCCTCTGATAAATTCGCTGTCATTCAAGTCGCTTGATTTAAACTCTCCTTTATGTCCCAAATCCACTTAAGCATTTTTTTTCAACTTTTTTTTTTTTTTTGGTCCATTGATTCTTCCCTTTCGATATTTTTTCAGTATCTTCCCAGTCATTCCATTGTCTTGCTCCTTGTTCCATTTCTCCCAGTCTCCCCAGTTGTTGCTGCTGCTGCTCCATGCAGAATCCCCTCTCCACGCTTTGTCTTCCTGCCACTGGTGCATTTTCTCCATCCAAACCCTGCTCTCTGCTTCCCCTTGCCTGATGCCCTTTGCCTGGGCCTCAGTGTCATCTCAAACCTCACCATATCTCTCCCAGAGCTAGTTCAAGGCTTCTGAAGAGCGTCGATGAAACAGAAATGTGCCAACTTAAGGACCGGTGTCAACACTGCGTCTGCCATTGGCAGGAAAAGGAAAAGGCTGGGCAAGAATGAACTTGCTGCTCCTGGTGTTGCCTGAGGAGGAAGGTGGTGCAGACTGTGGATGGTGATTGCTGCTGAAAGGAGGTCCCAGCCCCCATTTCTCCTAAAGCACTTTCTCCTTCTCATGTTTTTTCTTGTCGTCAGAGAAGCACTCTACTAAGCGGTCAGTGGGTAATATGTGGCTGCCATTTCTGTTGAAGTAACTTCTAGGTTCAGATCTGCAATATCTACTGAAATTACTGTCTTCTGTTTCTGCGCATAGCTAATAAGGTCTTTAGGGAAAATCATGAAGAACATGTATGTAGTCATTACCTTCCTGAAAGAGGAATTTGCAGTTGTTTCCTGTCTGCTTTCCTTTCAATGCAGAGGAGGGAGAACCTGCCTGAAGCAGGGCAGCGCTGAGCAGCTGCTGCTCTCCCTTTTCAGAGCTGGGCTTCTGGAAGAGCCATTCACCTCGCAATACCTCATGGAAATATTTTATTTATAAGATGTGTAGACAAAAGCCCCAAACAGTTTTAATCCATAGGAAAATACAGGTGTATTTGATAGCAAGAAGAACCTTTGTGACATGCTTTTAAGGGCACTTGCAAGGTGAGGAGGGGTGTTTTCCTCCCCACTCTTGCTATCCCCGTGGGGATGGGGACTTGTTTTATTGGTAAATGGTGGTCACTGCAGTACAGACCTCAGCTTTAGCTTCACCTTGGACTTGCCATTTCTAGGTTTCTCTCTTAGGGGAATCTTTTTTTTCGAACTCCCTAAATTTCTTTGACACAAAGCTGTACCTTTTTGGTTTATTCCTGGACTAAGAAAGATGCTATCTGGAAATGCTCTTACAGTGATGCATGATTAACTTGCAGTTAAACACACTAATGTTAATATAAGATTTTTGTGTGTATAAAGTTGTCAGAGTAAGAAACATGAAAGTAACAGCTGCATGTGCAACATAGCTGTCCTTGCTTACTAGTGCTCAGTCAGTATGTACCTTGTTTTTTCCACAGGATGTTTTTCCCCATTCTGTGGTCAAGATGCCAGTGGTCGCTGTATTTCACAGTTTGTTTCTCTATGAAAATCCTTGTGTGGTTCTACAGCTTATTTTGATGAACTCTGTTTAAAACTCTGCATGAACAGAGAATTGCCGTCTTTTCTGGAGCTTTCCATGACTTAATGATTGAGGCTGATCAGGACATCACAAACACTCATTTTCTTTCTGCAAATTCAGCTATTAATTTTGAACAAAAAAACCAAGAGATAGATAATTTCCTCCTCCACTATACAGTCCTGACTTATTCTTGTAATATAGCCCAATCTATGGCTTTAGTGAGGTAAACAAAACACAGAAAAACAATAAAGTCATATTATTGACCATCCCCACCATCACACCTGATCCTTTATCATACTTCATTTGCACAAAGGGAGGAGAACTGAGATTTTGCCAGCAGCATGCTGTAACTCTGGCATATCCTAACTCTGGAGTACTTGCCATCACAAGTTTCTTGGAGTTTTGTGAAATGGGGGAGGAATTGTGAAAAAGAAGGGGGAAATATCCAAATGTCATCTTTTGGCATTCCCTTGTCTTCTGTGTGGATCATCAGCAAGGTGGATCCTGGAATCACACCACACAGGTCCAGTGTCACCGGTACTAATGGGGTAAGTGGCAGTAGTTGTGCCGGATGTTACCATCTTGAACTGAAATTGCAGGGGGTCATTGCCTCCGGGTGAGGGGGTCACCAGCATGGCTTGGCAACTGGGAAATCATGACACATCATGAGGACTTCATAGTTCAGAAAGAGTTGACCCTACATGTCAGAGCTGGGAGGTGAACGTGCAAACAGCACATTTTGAAATCAGGAAGACCCTTGCCAGTGCCAACACTTGTGTGTCTGGACTCCATTTTGACCTCGAGAGCGGGCTGTATTGCAGGGGTCCCAGGTCCTTCTCCCCTCCTTTGAGGACTCTGTCTCTCCTGCCATTCTCACCATCTGAATCACTGCTTCCCCCACATCTTTAGGTCCTCCCTCAATTTGCTCTCCCTCACAAACACTGCCCAGCCTGGTTCTTATCTTCTGCTTCTCCAGGTCTCTGTGCTCCTCCCCTGGTCCTTGGCTTCCAGTAGGGGAAGTGCCTGGGAGAGCATCTCCTGCGGCATTTCCTCCATCGGGGAGCAGCAGTTCTACATGTGGCTGTATCCTGTCCATATTGAATTGACAGCAGCTTCCCAGGGGTAGCAAAAGGCAAAAAGAAAAAAAAACCACAACAAAAACCACACAACTGTGTTAGAAGGCAAGTCTGGCCTTGGAAAGGAAAGGAAAGGAATCAAACCAAGCAGCATTTTTCAAAACTATGAGCAAGAACCGTATTTGCAGGGCTTTGAGCAACTTTAAACATAAAAGTTAACTTAAAAATATAACTATACTTAGGTGTCAACTTAGCTATTGCATAGCTTAGAAGTGTGATACACAACTCAAATGTCTGCTGATATAATGTGACAAAAGACTCTGCCCTTCTGATGTAGACTGTGACCAGTGTAGACAAACCATTTCCTGCCTTCACTGCATTCATGATCTGTAAGCACAGGCTGATAGCCGACTTCACTACGGACAGGTCAGTGATAACAACACAGATGAACTCTTGTATGTACTTAGCACCTCCAATTTCAGTTGCCTGCAGACAGCTGCATTTGTAATAAGTCTTCTTTTAATGCCAGGCTTCTGACTTTCTCTGGAATTGGTTTGAAAGGTGAGACCTTGTTTTCTTTCATCCATGGAGTTCCCATTTTTTCATGGAAAGATAACAAGAAGAACCTGTGAAGAACTGCTGAGCAAGAATGGAAAGAATGGTAGCTATTTAATACGAGACAGTGAAAGTGTGGAAGGAGCCTTGTGTCTCTGTGTTTTGTAAGTACTCTAATACTAAATTTTTTATGAGTTTTTAAATAGATCCAAAGATAAGCATTCATCTTCTCTAACATTAATATTTCTTCCTTAATATTAACAGACTCCAAGGGGGTGTGTATATGTATTCAGGTAATGCTGGTTGCCTTAGGCTGCCTTTATGGTGGGTAGTGAGAGGGTGGCATTTGCAAAAGACATTTTATACAACAGAGGATAGATTAACTGTAATCTGCTAATGCTGGTCTCTCTCTGCAGACTATAAGGGGAGCCCAGAGAAAATAGCTTAGCCTGCCAAAACATGGTAAGAACCTTACTGAAAGTTACTGCTTCTGTAATGATGAGTAAATAGCATTTTAGCACTGTTGAGACACTGAAAAGTCTCACAGTAGGTTACAAAACAGTTCCTTCTTCATAGGGTTTCTATGTGATGAAAGCTTAGCCTTGTGCTTCAAAGGAATTTTATCTAATTTAAGAACATAAGCTGAGACAGAAAGCTATAAAGTCCTGTTCAAATTCATATGACAGGTCCATGAACAAGATGGGCATAGAAAATTACTACTGCTAGTCCTTAACTTTAATTACTACAATTAAAATTTTATTATTTTCTTTTCCTGTAGGGAATAGCACCTTTATTTTCCTTTCAAGAAGCCTGTTTTACACTTTTCATATATAATTGATCTGTTCGTTATGCATTCAAAGTTTATAAATTAGTAACTCTGCGTCTTTCTTTGTTTGACTCTACGAGGTTTTACACTCTCCTTGAGGATGTGTTCAAGTGTGACATGAAAAATTTTTAACACTACATCTAATTCATTCAAAAATATCATAAAATGTTTTTATCAATAATCAAAAACATTTCTTTTGAAACAATCAAAGGAGAAGGAGAAAAAGGGAGAGGGAAATGGACTACTATGGGGTTGGTGGTAGAAGAAAGGAAGTCTGTGAAAAGGCAGAGTAAGGAGAACAGAAATGGCAAGTGGGGGACAAACAGAGCCCTCAGGAAGGGAGCTGTGGGAACCTGCCTTCAGTATGGTGTGGAAGGAGACAATGTAGGGGGTGTGAGGAGCGCAGGGAGCGTGAGAGGGAAAGGGCATGCATACCCTGTCAGAAAGGACAAATGGGGATCCTGGCACAGAGGAAGAATGGCAGTATTAGTCCCTGACATGGGAAGATGGCCGTTGAGATCTTATGCAGTAGAGGTAGATGAGAAAGTGAAGGGCTGCTTAGGTGCGTGCAATGAGTTTGAAATACTGATATAACAGAGAGCACATCTACAGAGTACATTGTGGGCAGATGCAAGGTGACATAAAGATTAAGCTTTGTGCTACATTAACACAGTTGCTTTCCCTTTCTTCTTTTTTTTTTTTTTTTTTTTAATGGGCAAAGCACGTCTACCTTGTGATAGCTTGCAGACATGCTTTTGTCTGTCAAGAGTGTTCTGGGCAGGCATGTGACTGAAAAAGCATGTGACTTCCAGCTAGCCTTTGTGGGTTTTTAATGTTAAAACTGTTAAAAGTGGTTGACTTTAACTCATGCGTTAACAAATGTAATAATTAAACTGTAGGGGTGGCAGCAATGGTATAACAGATACTGGCTTGCAGAGGTGAAAGCAAGGGTTGTCTTCAGATAGCAAATGGGATGGTAATAGTGTAGTGGCTCAGAATTGCCTCAGAGACTGGACTGTCTGTCAGTGGTTGACTAGGCAGAGGAAAGCTGTCCTAAAACTGGAGGCAATCAACACTGAAACTCTCAGTGCTGTTTCAAGACAACTTTTGGATTATAATTACATCTTAAAGCATTGCTTACCACCTAACATGGTTGATGCACAAACTGATGCACACCTCTCAAATTAGCTGATCCATGGGCAGAGATACTGATCCACTTGCTACAGAAAACAACTGGGTTTTTTGTCCTCTACTGATTGGGGTGTGGGGGGAGGGCACTGCCATGGAGGATCTGGGAGTCAGAATGGTGGGACCAGTTCAAAAGCATCTATTCTCTAATTGGGCACGGTGCACAGCTCTGCTGATACGTCTTCCTCCATGGCACACTGCTGCTTTCATCCAAAGCTGTCCTAGGTCTCTGACAGTGCCTCAGTCCAGACCTGCTGCTCTTGCTGCTGTCCTCCTTATGGCTCAACATGTCATTCTCCCAAAAAAAGCTCCTCTCACCCTGCTTTTCTGCCACTGGATCTCCCCTGTGCCCAGACCAGGCACCTTATTAATTTGTATTAATGTGGAAACAGAAGTTTCCATTTTAATGGTAGTTTCATGTTTATTCAGTAAAAATTACAGTAACCAAATAACATCCAGGCAGTAACCTTTCAAAATTTGGATGATAGGTAAAGAATTAATTTCAAAAATGATCAGTTCCTGGTAGTTTTTTTTCTTCAACTAGACATAGACATAGACAACTTCTATGTCTATGTTTAAAAAATGAACACCCACATTTATAAAATAATCTTAAGCCAAGAACATGTGAATTTCCACAGGTATCTCAAGGAGGAAAAAACAGAAGATGCATCCCTGTGATGTAACTCTTTGAATCAAAGTAAATCTGTTCTAACTGGAAGTCTTATCCTGATCGCAGTTCATAGTAACTGTTTTTGCAGAGCAAAGTAGTTTATCTCCAGAGTAACTATTCATTTATGCGCTAATCCTCTGAGCTAGGTTTTCGTCCTAAGGTTCTCCCTCTCATGACAGCTCAATTCATGTAGCTACAGCTGAAATCCTTCTGATGAACATGTGTACCAGTTAAAAGACCTTGTTTTCAAATACTGCTTCCTCCCCTGCCGCCCCCCATTATTTGTGGTTTACATATCTTTGCAACTTTACTGCCTTTTTTGGTCATAGTCATGATCTCCAGTTCATCTTCTGAACATCTGCCATTGCGGTATTTGATAGAGCTTTTGTTTCTGTCGACAAAATATATCCAAAGCCATCAGTAGCCTGAGTGTTCAAATGCCTGCATTTTATTAGAAATAATAATAATTAAAACCCTGGGAAATGCAAAGGAAGAATAATTTTCTTAGAAGTAGGACCTGTTCAGTCATTTTCTGGGTGCTGGTGACTGGAGACCATTTTCTGCTAACATCTCTCCAAGAATTCAACAGTCTTCTTGTGAAACAACTGCAAAATTAAGTTTAGGGAGGTATCACATGTGAGGAGCATAAGAAGATAGATGAGAGGGTGGGATGTCTGTGGAATCAAATTACTCTTATATAAAGGTCTGCCTTAGGTTTAGTTCATAAGTTCTTTGAAACCCCTCGTTAGACTAATCTTATATTTCAAGATATGAAACATTCTCTCATTTTGCAAACTCCAGATTCCCTTCTGTTTTGCTTTTCTGTCTCTGTCTCATTCAATTTTACTGCACAACTTCTCATGTCTTTAGTACTACCTGCTGTTTGCAGACATTTCCAGGTTTGTGCTTTGACACAAATGCAGCGTCTCTTCCTTCTACCACAGTGTCTGCTTTCAGCAGCGGGGGTAAGAGACTCAGCCCACTGTTAAGTCCCTAATGTCATACATGCTTTTGAGTATATGTCCAGTATCGTATACCTCTCTAGCTATACTCCGGTCAAATCAAACATATTCTAGGTTGAAGTAGCCTGGTACATGATCACATCTGGAATACATGAAGGTACAGACAGCTCAAGGGGTCACTGTGTGGGGCAGCGTGTGGGGAATAACAGTATGAATTTGTGGTGCCGCAATTACTTGAAGGCTCCCACAAGGAAAGCAGATTACGTGAAAAACATTCTGCAAGTTCACACTCCTGCGTATGCCGTGGCAACCTCCTCACCTCTTCTCTTCTTCAGAGGAATGCCAGCAGATCTCATGCAAAAGGTGAACTGCAAGTTTTCTACAGAATCATTCTTTACCACTACTTAGATTAATATGGTTTTCTTTCTCTCTCTCTCTCCCCTCACATCCTTCACAACTTCTATCAATATGATAGAAGGCATTCGCAAAGACAATCTTTCAGAGCATCAGCCCATGCCAATGTGCTTGTTTCCATGCAGCATTGCTGTCTTGTGTCATATCCCAGGTGAATCTCTCGTCCTTGCTCTCAGCTGTAGATCAGTCTTTTGAAAGGTGACTGCTTCTCTTGTGGATGTGGTAATTAGTTGGAAGCCAGCCCATTTTCCCCTAGAGCATGACTTCAGGAAAAGAAGGGCGCCTCATTTTTGTCTTTGTAGCTATTTAGGTCTTCCTTATAGCTCCATTTTTGAAGGAGTGGTACATATTAGCACTGTCTTTCCATTGCGAAAAGGTTGTCTGATGATTAGCCCAACCCAGTGTAAAGTCTGAGAGTCGACCAGACCACGGTTCCCCTTCTCCTCACTGCTAATGGAGATACTGCAGTTCTTGATTACACGTGTGCCAGCCCTTTGCCTGCAGTTTATTCCCATGTTGACATTTGCACAAAGTGGTTTCTAGTGCTGTGAAGCAATTCTGCTGGTGGGGAGCAAGGACTTAGGCATCCTATGGAAGCAAGAACTTTTCTCTCACATGGCACCTGCAGTGGAATTCCAGGGTCTATTTCATGTTTTACTGCCTCGGAACAAGTAATACAAATTCTCAGTGACATCCAGCCCTTTCTGGATGTATAAACTTGAAGCATTTTCACTGCTTTGACTTACCAGATCTATTTTATTGGAGCTGTAGTAGTCCAAAACTCAGCATAGGAAATGCACCTAAGAAGCTGGAGGAAAGCTCAGGCAGTTAGCTGATGTGGAGGTGAGCTAGCTGGATGTGCTTTATCAAGATCTATGCTAAGCAAAGTGCAGTGACTGCAGATTGAACACGGCACTCTTAGCTACATTTACCATACCTGGCCTAACTCTGCAGGGCAAAAAAAAGAGTGCCATAAATTTAGTCCAAAGTCAAACAGACCTGCATAGCTATGTACAGGGGGTTAGATCTGAATTGGCAAGGTATCATAAAGTAATACTTGGGTTTCTGAGGCTTAAGAATGCATGACTAATTTTGGCTGACAGACAATTAAACATTTGACTTAGAAAATCTCAAGTATTTTGAAAGCTCCGATATATGAATCAAATGGAAAAGTGAATGCATATATATACATAAAATTGATGCTATTTAGCATCAGGCATTCCTTTAGATTTATTTCTTTGTTTTTAGTCTTTCATTGTATTGCAGTTTAAGATACAAGCAAACAAAAAGAAACAAAAGCTGGCTGTCAAGATCAGCTGTAGCAGTCTAAGCAAGTTGCAGTGATCTGACAGTTGATAAAAAGCATAATGTATACAACAATGTTTTTCACAGCTTTGAAAAATTCATCTACACTTACCGTATCTTCAGGGAACGCCAAGGATATTTCAGAATACAGGTGAGTAACTCTCATTTCGTCTGTAAAGATTGCACTAAAGATGTTTTTTTTGATTAAAAAAATTAACATACATGAACACATTACCTTAGAAAATATTTTCAACTTTGCTTTCTTCTCTACTCAATTCTTGACTTTTTAATGTTATACTTATTATTACATATGAGCTCAGAAGTAGCTATTATCTTTGTAGAATTCCCTTATAATCTAAGTGGATCTGTTATTTGTTGACCAGCTGCTCTCTGATTTGACCATTTCTTTTTGATAGCATTGAAGAAAATTCTATCACTTTCGTTACTTGCTCCTGTTCCTTAATTAGCTTTTTCTATTTGAAAGCTCTGCCATTGCACCCAGCATCTTGTAGGAATTTGGAATATTGCACTGATCTTTTTGACTTAAAGAGACCTATCTGTAATTCTGTGCCATTCTGAGGCATCTGAAGTGATGACCCCAGATAATGCTGCTCGTTGTTTGAATAAGCATAAGAGCAGACTGCATCAATCAAATCCCTAGGCAAGGTGAGAGGACACTTAAAAGGCTGGCTCACTCCTCTGCTTGTAGTAGGACAGCCAACAGGACTGCCAACAATTAAGTAGCATTTAAGTGGAATGAGGAACTCACTCCATAAAGGACACACCAAGCTCTCATATGCTGGTAATTTCTTGCTTATTAGCAGTTTGGACTGAGTACGAAAGACATAATTTCCCATGAAGAAGAATGGTTTGTTGACAAAAAATAATCTATTTTGGACTATAGCCACTCTACTGGGGTTTGCTGTCATGCCTATCAGCAGATATTAACTCAAACACTTTTAGTTTTTTCAAAGCCAATTTTCCTTACAAGGTTTTGCCAAGAAGGTGAAAGAAGAGTTCTGTTCTTCAAATTTTTAAGTCAGATTGTTTTGGCTTACTAAAATAATAGACTGAAATAATATATTGATGGTGGAGGGGAGATCATTTGGGGTTTTTTTAAGGGCCAGATTCAGCCATGAACTTTCTAGAGTGTGGTAGGTTGACCCCAGCCAGCAGCTAAGCACCCACACAGCTGCTCACTCACTCTCCTCCGTAGCAGGACAGGGTGAGGGGAAGAGAACACGAAGAGCAAAAGTGAGGAAGCTCCTGGATGAAGAGAAAAGACTGTTTAATAGATGAAGCAAAGTTGTGCACACAAGCAAAGCAAAGGAGTTTAGTCACTACTTTCCATCAGGAGGTAGATGTTTAGCCACCTCCTGGAAAGCAGGGCTTCAGCACATGTAATGGTTACTTGAGAAGACAAATGCCATAACCACGAACATCCTCACTTTCCCTGAGCTTTTATTGCTGAGCACAGGGTCATATGGGATAGGATAGCCCTTCGGTCAATTCGGGTCTGCTGTCCTGCTGTGTCCCCTCCCAGCATCTTGCGCACCCCCAGCCTACTCACTGGGGGAGCAGAGTGCAAAAAAGAGACAACTTCAAGTCTATGCGTTTCCCTGAGCTTTTATTGCTGAGCACAGGGTCATATGGGATAGGATAGCCCTTCGGTCAATTCGGGTCTGCTGTCCTGCTGTGTCCCCTCCCAGCATCTTGCGCACCCCCAGCCTACTCACTGGGGGAGCAGAGTGCAAAAAAGAGACAACTTCAAGTCTATGCGAGCACTGTTCAGCAACAGCCAAAACACAGTTGTGTTATCAACACTGTTTTAGTCACAAATTCAAAACACAGCACTATAAAAGCTGCTACGAAGAAAGTTAACTCCATCCCAGCCAGACCCAGTACACAGAGGCAGTGGCACCCAGCCCATACCAGGCTGTAGGGAAGATAAAGGATGCAGAAAAACAAGGAAAATAAAGACATGTTTCTTTGTTAGATAGCAAATGAAGCGAAACCAAAGCCCCATTCACTTTTAATGACCAGTAGTTGGACCCTCGCTGTGATTAGAGCTGATTAATGTGCTTACTGTCTGTCACTGTCCTGAAGTCACCAGCCTTGCAAAGTCTCTGTACAGATTACTGGGAGGCTGTGCCGTGGAAGTGGTTCAGTCCAGCTGTATGAACCCACCCATTGAAAAGCAGTCTCTGAGAACGCGGTTCCCCCGCTTAGGAGTGCCATCCTCCATGTTTGGCCTCAGGAGTCTCCAATGCAAGTCACAAAGCTGGACAAATAATAAACTCCTGCCTAAAAGTGAAAGCTGGTGCCGGGGACTTTCATATGGATCCTCAGACACGTCCGCTGCCTCTGCACATGTCCTTTGCTTGAAAACGCTGATATTTTGCAAAACATTTGGATTCTGCTTGTCACAGAGTTGTTTAAATACAACATTTTAAGTGAGAACTAAATATGTTGCCCCTAAACTTGTGCTCTAAGACCAGAGGGAAGTCTGTAATGCTGTCACTCTTCGACACTGCTGTAGTGGATTGCTGCAGCACACATCTGAGCCAATATTTTAAACTGATGTTCTTTTCTCAAAAAAAAAGATGGTGAGGGAGGTTACACACAGTGCCATAACCACGCCACCAAACAGGTGTCCCTAGTGTTTTAAGGATAGTACAATATTCTGTCACCAAATCTGTTTACAAAACAGCTCCTTTGTAAACAAGAAACAACCTATTGTTCCTTTCATTTAGGGGACTCTATGTGAAGGGCAGTTACAAACAAACTTTATTTTCCTTTCCTTACAGACTTCTGAAGGTGTTCCAGAGAGGATCTTCAGGACATTAAAGGACCTAATATACACTTATGAAAAGCCAAATCAAGAACTAATAACAAACCTTCGCTACCCAGTGAAGAAACCAAAGGCCTTGCAAAGAAGCCAGCGCTTCAAGTCAGGAAAGGATGACATTTATGATGGTGAGAAATTTAGCTCTGCCTTTGTGGGTTTTTTTTAAGACGACTGCATTGACAGGTTTGTGGTGAATAGTTGCTACGTGTCCTCTGAGACCAGCTCGCATGGACAGAAGTTCAACATCCTTCCTTCTCTCTTTTGTTAACTGGAAAACGGTTATTCCCAGCTCACAGGTTACATACCCTCATCCACTACAAATTAACAATTCAAAATTGCAAGAGAGACAGAAGGCAAAGCATGATGTTGCCCACAGCTCACTCCTTCATGGGTGCTGATGCTTCTAGGCTAGGGAAGGCTGAGGACCAGTTTTACTTAATGTGGTTCTGCCAAGCTGCCAGGCCCCTGCACTTCACTGGGAGTTGAGGCTGTCCGTTACCTTCGTTGTCCAGGTTGAAAGCTATTTTTACACCAAAATCTAACTCAGTTATTTTTGAGATGCTAGGGAAAAAAAGGAAAAAAAAAAGCCAGCCAACTTGTGGTTTGTTGTGATTTGTATTAAAATATGACTCATTTTGTAAGTTAGTCTGTTGAAAATAAGCATATAGCCTTGTGCTCAGGATCACAGCTTTGGAACCAGAGTTCAGTCTCTGGTTGATCTTCTGCTAACTTACAAGTGCCAGGGATAAGATAAGAATACAATATTTCTACCTGGCAGAAATGTTACGCAAATAGATACAATAAAGATGGAGGTTTTCATAAAGTGGTGGACCGTGTTTTATAATCCCATGTCATCTTTATGTCCTTGGTTTGGGGAGGATGAATAGAGATACTACTGGTAACTTGCCAGCATCCCTCACGCACTTTTGAAAGCCACTTTTCTTATTGCTCAGCTGCAGTATCCATCAGGTCACAGGCTGCAAAATAACCTAGAAGCTCTTCTAGGTCCTCTGACTAGAAGACCAAGTGTAGTGAAAGCCACAGTCAGAGCATGCGGGAGCAAAGGAAATCCTTTCATTAAGTACAGTTATCATAAAGGAAAAGATTCTTGGGAGTATCCAACCTTCTGTGTGATTTATACCTCATGACTAATGCTAGCTAAAATGCGGTCGTGTGGGCCAGCCTCTCTGTGCTGCAGTCATACCTCCTGTCTGTACAACAGATGCTGGTTTTTTGTGCACAACAGTGCAACAGCTCTGGCGCTCCCTGTGTCAAGCAGACAGGATGGGAAGGGGTGAGCTCTCCCCACCACTTCATGCACTAAGCTGCATTTTTAGGGGCTAGTGCAGCAACAAACTTGCTGAGAGAAACAGTAGCAAAGAGACATTTCCAGTGTCTCCAGCATCCCATTATTACTTGTATCACTAAGGTGGATATGCCACATTTGTTCTAAAAAAGGTTTTTATGGTATCTTGTCATTGCCACTCCAGGGAGGTGGAAAATACTGCAGTAGCATGGATATATTTTTAGGAAAAATCAAGTGTAATACATATTTTATTGTCTGGTCCTGCAACATAAACTTGTCTAGAAGATGCACAATGTCCTGGTCTGGACTCACAGGGAGGAAAACAAACCCTTTCATTTCACTATCAAAATGTTTGTGGATGTCATAAAAATGGAGGCTTTTAGAAATAATCAAATCAGTTTGGAATTGTTGCTGTTCAATTTTAATTTAAATTTCACTTATACAGCAGTCCAAACTTGCCCCTCAGACTGCTTTGTTACGTGCTCACAGGGGGAGTTCAGGTTAATGTCATGATGGATATCTCTCCGAATTGCAGGCATCACATAAAACACCACAGTGCTTCCTAAAGCAAGCACCGTATTTTTATGGTCTGGTCCCTCGCGTTGCACAGGCAGCTGGCTTTGCAGCACATGCAGGACCGAGCACTCCAGTGCAACCAGTGGAACACCTCAAGGGACTGGGGTCACATCCAACTGGTTGTTGGACGGTTTTGAACATTGTTTTCTAGCCCAGGAACAGCTTGTCTGAGGGTGGCTGCTTGAAGGCACAGTAGGTTTCCACGGTGGAGATGGAGTCCTGAGCATTCAATTTCTGCCTTTCCACTATCTTTTCAAAAAACATAATAAATCTGACAAGGTCTAAGAGAGAAGGGGTTTTTTCAGGCTCTCCTCCCCTAGTTGGGAGGAGAGCTTTTCTGTTGGGTATTCATTTAGAGAAGAAATGGTGTGTTATGCTATAGTCATATAGCTATCTCAGCTATTGATCTGATTTACTAAGTATGGATGATTTCTGACATTTGACTGTTCCTCAGAAAGAAGGGGTCTCACATGGATACAACCGTTTAATAACAGAGCTTGCTGGCTCAGAAAAGACAATGCAGGCTTTGCCTCCATACGGGCTCCTGGAGGACCCAGTCCATAGGTCACGGGGCCTAAACATTGGCCCTGCAATAGCAGAGAGAATACCGAGAAACCAAATTGAGTTATTGCTATCTGTCCAGCAACACGGCCACAGGCCATCCTGCTTACCGTGGTCTTTCAGAGGAGCCATTTGCAATGACAACTTTTTTTTTTTTTTTTAATTGATTTCTTTACAGAAATTGATGACAGTGATTACGTCGCTGTCTTACCCTGAATGATCTGCAACCTGACGATTTGGGAAGCTGCCGTTTCAGGCTGTGCCACAGCACAACGGATCAGCTGGGGAGAGCTGCCAGCTGGGCATTTGCCGCTGTGGATCTGTACCTCTGGAATTAGTCTCCTCCTTTTGCAGACTGTCAGAGCAGCTGTATTTTCTCCCAGTAAATCCAGTACAAGATACTATATATTTTTGTTCAGCAATAAAATAATTAATTTTTATAAGATACTTGCATACATATACGTACATATGGGAGGGAGAAGGGTATCTGTGTGCACATATGTGTATTTTGGTTTTTTAGTCAGCAAACTGTCCAAGATGTCTACTGCTAAAATGAAGAATCTGTTAGAAAGCAGCAATGTAAGTACAATAATGAATGTGCATAAAGCAGTAGCTTATGGCAGAACTGATATATGCTGATAAAAATGATACATGATAAAAATTCTGTTGGCATCATAAGATGCTTAAAAACCTCTAAACTCTGTTATTTTGTGCACCATTCATGTTACCTCATTGTTGGATAAGAGGATAGTATTTCAGCTATGTCAAGGAATACTAGTATTATCCTGCAGCTTGGAGTAATCTAAATTAAAACAAAAAGGCTGTGTTAAATCCATGCCGTAAAGAATTAATCAACAACATAAAAATGGTTTGAGACACTTTTAATATCAACGAATGGTTCTGGTGGATTACAAGAGGAGTGCAAGTTCTACATGCATATCGGAAAAAACGCATCCTTTTTTTTTTTAATAGATACTTTACAAATGAGAATGCTTACTACATTTCATTTGCTACTCTCATTAGCTCTGTATTGTAGTGTGTATGGGGTTTGTTATTTTTAATGTAAGAATTTGCTTTAATCTTACCCCTCATTTTAAGTATTTAATATATACTTTTGTTCTGAAGGTGGCCTGCAACTAGCAGCCCAAGCCAGAACTGGAACGTATGTCCTGATTCTCCCAGTTGTTAGTACCAACTCCCTCTCTGTGACCTTGAGGAAGACATTTATATTGGTTGTGTGCTTGTTTAAGATCTTTCACAAATTATTTATGTATTTTTATGGGTAATACTAGTTAGATTTCTTTCTCATTATGTTTCTTTCACACCAATATTTGTTAAAGGACTTTTAGATTTTTCAGTGACTTCATTATGAATTTAACAGTGCTAACAGTTTTGGTGCCAGGCTCAAATGGTACTTGTAGCATGAAGGAGACAAACAAGAACATTCGTTAACTAACTCTGGCATTGCCAAAAATACTAACATGTGTCCAAAAATCATGAATTGAAAAGAAAGTAGTTGTCCATGAAAAATGGTACTACTGGAGACAAAAAAAGCAACCCTTGCTCTGTAGAGGCACATACACTGATGTGTCTTTGTTTGCAGAATTCAGCAGCCTGCATGATGGTTGGTTATCACACGTGTCAGACCGAGCAGCTGCTGTGCTGGGACATCCCAAATCCAGCAGCCGGGTCTTTAAGAGAACGGAACACTACAGGTTTTTTGAAATGAGAGTCTCAGCCGTCCCCCACGTGCTAAGCCAGTCACACGGATGTTCAACCTTAGGAAAAGGACGAGTGACAAGGGATCCCGGGCCGTGCCTCATGACCAAGACTGCGTAATTCCTGACGGCTGAACAGGCTATTACTGACAGCCGACGAGGACAAGGGGCTGGGCTGCAGTGCTTTCTAGCTGGCTGTTACTCTGGTTAACGTGCTGCACTGCACGCCGCTGAACTTTAGACTTGGATTTACAACGCCAAAGTGGCTGCAGCGCCAGCTGCTGAATTCCAGTCGAGAGGGGGCATCCAAGCCCACACTCCCCTCACTTTTCAGGCATGACTTCTGAGGCAGTCAGCTGAATCACAGAAAGTGAGAAGGATAAAGGTTTTAAAGGAGGAAACAAGGACCCAGAATGAAAAGAAACTCATTTACAATATTCAGCTATCATGTACAGGAATATATTTATTCTATTAAGAGTATAGGAAAATGAGGTTGATATAAACATTCCTACACCTCTTCGCACGCCTCACACATTAGAAAACAATCTGTACATGACTTTCGAAAACGTATGTTCAAAAGCTTCACACACCAGCATCTCCTTTCCGATATCCAAAACAGCAGTACGTGTGTGTGTGCGCG